TGGAACCAAACCCCAGCAGATACCAAGGGCCCACTGCATACATCTTTCTCATAAGAATCTCTTATTCTTTGCAAGCTATCTTCACCTATCTTCCTTCCTCTCCAAACTGTAGGTTCTTTCTGGTCCCCCTGCTTTTCTGTCCATCTGTCCTTCTCTTAGGAAATACCCTTAGGAGGGAAGCTGAACTCATTGCTTATGTGGTGGACAGGGACAGGAGGGCAAGAAGCATGAATTAAACCCTGAACTTTTCAATTCAGATTTTGTCTCTGCCATGGATTGTGGCAGCTGGATGTATAAATTCAATTCAAATGTCCAACCTCAGTGTAAATCAAAATATAAACTCCTGGCTTAATTGTCCCTAATAGAATGAGCTAAACCAGTTCCTTAATTAAAAGGAAAGAGTGTCATATGTTAATTAATTCCTTTCATCATTTTTCCTTATTAGTTTCATCAAACACAATGTAACAGATGGAGAAAGTAATTGGGAGATTGCAATTTACTGTGCTCTCATCTTTCTAAATTAAAATGCTGTATTTCTCCAGACATGTATCTTTTTATTGAGCTTTTAGTCACCCTTTTTTTGCTGAAGAGGAGTATGAATAATGAAGTTTCATCTTCAGAAGAAAGGAGAGTTTGGTTCTTCTGAGGAACATGGGGGTGACTGTGGGGTTCCCTCACTTTATTTGATTTATTGCTTCTCTCTCTCTCTCTCTCTCTCTCTCTCAATCTTCCAGATCTGACAGCACGTTTATCCTGGGTAAAATGGGATTGAGAGATGCCCCATGTTGAAGGGGGGGAAAGAATGTTTTTCAAAGAACTGGCTGCTTGACACCATCTGTTGAATTATCATCATCCAGAAGAGAGATATTCCATATAACTGCAATAATACATTCACACTACTGATTGACAGATACAGTTTTCTTTGCAACTGGACACAAACCACTTAATATTTTATGTTATGACATGGAGTTACAACATTATATTTACTTACTTACAAATAATGAATAGAAATGTGCAGAATACACATTTTTATACAATTTCAATTGAAGGCCAAAGAAAGAAAGAATTGACATAGCTAGCATTATGTGCCCCTCAGGAGAGAATTCCAGAGGCAGGAGCCACCACTGAGAATGTCTAATCTCTATTAGCCAGTCTTTCAGATCCTCATAGCAGGCCAGTGAGTATGGCCACAATAAAGATTGTAAGACATGTTAGTTTCAACAGGCCAAGAGTAGAGAAACCAGGCTGCATTGGACGTAGCTGACATAACCCTCCAACCTATTTTGGGCTGGAAGACCACATCATGAGCATGACCACACCTCCTAAGTCTCCATATCCTGCTCACAGTGTTGGGTGAAGAATCCAGTTGATACTGCAGCCAGGGACTCAGCTTGTCTTCCTTGCAACCTCTCTGTGTTCAACAGGGGAGACAATCTCTGTGCATGACCACTCCTGTAACCAGTTAGATGTTCTTTGAGCTGTTTGCTGCTGGCAGCACACACTCTTTTCTGGCATGGAGCACCATTTACATATGTTGAGTGGTGCACCATTTGCATTCTAAAGAGGAGTATTGGGTATATATGTATGTATAAACTGTAATGGAAATGCAAAATATGCTAGCATGGTGCTAGCATGTTCTATAAGGTAGTTTAGACCATTTTTTCCAACTATAAATTTTGCATGGAGGTAGAATTCAGAGCCATAGCTGTGTTAATATGGAATATCTGCATCTGAGGAAGTAGGCCAAGCCTACAAAAGCTTCTGCTACAACTTCTTTTGCTCAGTTTATTTTATTTTATTTTATTTGCCACAAGATCCCTTTGCCTACTGTTAGTTTTGTATCTACTTCCCAGGGAGTGTCTCTTTAAAGTGGGTTATAGTAAATTAAACCCTTTCACAAGACTTAAATAAAGACTTTTCTCCACTGCACATTTATCTATTTATCTGTTCCTACTGTGCTTGTCACCCACCAATGTCCCTTTAAGAACAATTAATGACCAGCATTATCATGATCAAAATGATCATGATGATGATAATCATCATCATAATCTATGTTCCAGTTTCTTCTCACAAGCAGTACTCAAGGGCTGCAATCCTGTATGGTTATGTGGAGTGTAATAGGTCAGTATGAAGACTTAACTCAGCCTGAGCTGTATAGTACAGCCTCTGAGTTACTAAACAATCACTGAGTTAACCCGTCACCCAACATGGCCATTCCCTGTATTGTGAGGAACAATTACAGAAGCATCTGGCTCAATCCTTATTGCCAGAAAAAAATTATTGCAGCAGCAGAGACCTTTCAAAGATTCCATTAGATCTCAGTCCTGATGTCATAATTTCATCTCTGACTACAAGGAGACGCTTCTGCAACTCAGCCTATGTCTCACAAAGAAGGGAGTGGACCTGTAGGGGGTTTCTGAGGCTGTTCAGTAAGTTGGAGGAGGAGGGCTTTGGGTACTGTTGAGAGAAAGGAAGGGAGTACCAGCTCCTGCAGCACTCAAAGAAAGAGCTTATGCATATGTAAACTACATGTGCATATGTCCCTAACAGGATATCAGCTAAGGCAGGGGTAGGCAACCTTTCCCCTTTAAGGGCCAAGGGACTTCAGCTCCCAGAATCCCAGGAACTATTGGCCAACATGGGACTATTGGCCAACATGGCTGAGACTTCTGGGGGCTGAAGTCCCTTGGCCCTTAAAGGGGAAAGATTGCCTACCCCTGAGCTAAGGTGACATTAAGATCTGTTTTTGTTACCCCATCACTATGCCAGCATGTTTTTTTGCATTTCTGTTATTTTCTGGATACACCTCTAAGCACACACACACATTTTCATGCAGGCAAACATGTTTGCCCATTGAGGCTTCACTCCTAGTATCTCATGGAGGTGGGTTGGCAGTCTCTAAAGATTACGCTGAAAAGAAGGTTTTAAAAAGGGTCAAAACACTCCTCTTTTTTTTATTTATACTGGAACAGGCTAACATGGATATCTCTGTGAAAACCAGTACTGTGCTACTTAGTGCAACATGGTACTAATGGCACCTAAAGCAACATTGTACTGTGAAACCTAGGGCAACATGGGATGAATGGCATTCCTTTCATCTGCACATAATGGATCACAGGAAGGTGTGCACAGAAAACTGAACAGCAGTGGTTGCACTCTTAAATAATGCAAATGAACACTTTTCAACATTGGGAGCTCTCTCCTGTTGTTGTTGCAGCTGCTACTGGTATTATCTGTCTTGGATTTTGAAGGAGAGAAACAGCTTCCTCCTTTGACAGTCAATACAGGCAAGAGTAGATTTGAATCCATGCCTATTTCATTATGAGGAAAGCAGATGAAACATTTCTCACAAGGTTCATTTGAACTGGACATGAAGTATTTATTTGGGAGTATGTGGCAATAGGCATGCAAGGTGATATCGGTCCATCTTGGCATCCTCTGCAGAGGAGCAGATAAAACTCTTCTATATGGACTAAAACACTGGAGGAAGAAGGAATCAACACAATCAAAACTGCTGTTTGAGAATTAGAAATATGTTGAAATATGAGTTATATTTCATATGAGAAATATGTTGAATATGGTAAGGGCAGACAAAAAGGTATCTCCCATAGTTGGAGGGTCACATATTCAAAGACTGTAGGAAAAGAATGAATAACATGATATAAATCGTCCTGTTTTATTAAATGATATATATAGTGATAATAATTGGGCACTTTTTTATTGTCAGAGGTGTGATCAATCCATGAGAGACAAGTTATGATTAGACTCATTTGTATGCATGTGTGTGTGGGTATTGCATTTATTCTTTAATTGTATATTTCTGTCTCACAATAAATAAAGAAATGTTAAAAAAATTAAATAAATTCTTTTGAAGTGTCTTAATTTCAAGTAACTAAAATGTTATAGCAATTGATTCTGACACTACTGGACAATTCTTCTGGATTAGATGCAAGATCTCTGTTCTGGTAACCTGTTCCCAATGCTGCAACAAAATGGGTTGCAAAAAGTCAATATATATGGATACTAATTCTCAAATTCTGCTCTTTTTAAAAAATTGCCTGTCCCACTGCAAATGGTATTTAATGGTGTACAACCTGAGAGCATGGGTGTTTCCAGAGCCTGAAAAATTACTTTGTTGGATTTCAACTCCCAAAATTCCAAAGCCAGCATGATCAATTACTATGTTGACTAGGAAGTCTTAGGAGATAGATGTAGTGTGCTAAAAAGGAACTGATGTTGTCCTTAATGTATTGTTGGATTACTTTGGAATTTTCAGCAATATCCCTTTGTCAAAGCTATGCTCAACATAATCCAGTAATCCACCATGCAATTTGTTTCTTAGTTTACTTCTCTGCGAAATAGCCTTTCTCAAAATAAAAACAGATCAACAGTCAGAGATCAAATAATGCATTCAGTTGGCTATATGCAAATCTAGTTGCTTAGCATTGCCCTCTTGTGGTCTATCATGGCAGCTTTGTCATTGGGATGGGAAAAACAATTTAGAAGAAACCATTAGAAGGGATTATCACACAATTCCCACTAACAGAATGCTTCCAGTTTTCCAAGTATAGTTTCCCATACACACTCTCTGAAAGCTAATAAACTACATACCCCTTCAAGAAGACCAGTGATTGAAGCTACAAGTTTCTTCTGGCAAAAGAAGCATTTAAAGCATAGGCTGATCAGAATACTTCCATTGGTACAAATAAGTGTGAAAAGCTATTTTCTTCCTTTCTCCCTCCTACTTCAGCCCCCTGTGCCATTCCCAGATCTTTTGGGGGTGTACCAATGTAACCATCCCAAAAGTAAGGGGCCAGAACCAAGAAGGTCCTTTCCCCACCTGTTGTTGTTGTGTGCCTTCAAGTGATTTCCATCATATGGTAATTCTATGGTAAGCCCAACATAGGGTTTTCTTGGCAACATTTGTTGGGAGGGTTGCTTTTGCCTTCCTCAGAGGCAGAGAGAGTGTAGCTGGCCCAAGGTCACCCAGTGGGTTTCCATGGCCAAGCAAGGATTTGAACCCTGGTCTCCAGAGTCGTAGTCCAATGTTCAAACCACTATACCATGCTGCCTCTTTTTCCCCACTTTACCTTACTTCATATTACCACACAGCACTGATGCCCATGATTGGCACCTGAAGATGGACCTAGTATCCCAATATGGATCTATTTGTGTGACTGTAGACCTTTTTACTGACAAACAAACCACTGAGTTGCCTTATTGACTTACATAAGGAACTACTTACAAGTCAAGGATCCCCAGTTTTCTGGAAATTTTGAGACAGTGCTGTAGGTGTTTCAACTGATAATACCATTTCTCTTGAAAAATATTTTAAAAATCAAGCGGACTGTAGGGTCAAAAGATATTTCTGTGGACCCAACATCATCCAGAGGTACACCTTTGGAGACCTCAGTGTTAGCATATTCAAGATCTCTAGTTGTTTCATTTATGTATTAAAGCTGGTGGTTTTTTAAAAAAAATCATTCAGTGTCCATGCATACAGCAGAATTCTTTTAACATGTTCTTCTCTTTTAATTGATGATGTTTTGTGATAAGATTGAAATGTAACTATACTGACTCTAATCCAGAGATTATTTCACAAATCCCAGATGATGGGTTTGCTAGAGCACAAAAGGATCCAGCATTTCCATCTCTATCAGCTGTTGGTATAGGGACAACTGGATATAAAATTCAAATGATGTGGTCCCAGATCATGCAATTTACAATTTTACAACTTAAAGTTTTACAAATTTTACAATTTGGTCCATGAGAAGAGAATGTGGAGTGCTCTATATGGTCCACATGCTATGCCTCAATTGGCAAGATGAGTTAAAACTGACAAATGAGTTGCTCAGATCTGGTCTCATTTAGATGCTGTACTTGATACAGGTCCAGTGGATGCAACTTTGGCCTCTGCTTCTCCAAGGACAAATGATACTTTTCAATCCTTGTATTTAATGGTTCATAAAGCCAACTAGGCAGGCCAGCTGGGTAAAAGCAGTGGTGGACTCCAATTTGTTAAATGGCATGGTTCCATAATGCCTCATTGAATGTTGTTGGTGAAATATCTGCTATAAAAAGTCCTCCCTGAATCCGACTCAAATACATTTAAGTCTATGAAACCTCATGCTGCCAACTCCTTTCTTTCAGTTAGTCTCAAAGGTGGTACAAGATCTCTCTACATACTGAATCCCACTCTTGTAGGATTTCCCACCAATCTCCAGCGTTCCATTCTTGGGCAAGTTGCTGGAGTGTTTAGTAGTGTCTCAGTTTCAAGGGTTTCTCATCCTATTTAATGCATGCTCAAGAGGCACTGGCCTCAATCCAGCATCCCCTTAGCATTGTGTAAATACCTGCATGTGGACACATGCCACAACAGCAATATGCAACTCCCATGCAGAACAGCAACATTGTGCGACATATGTCATAGTACAATGCACAATACACAAAGCTCAACCACAATGCACCATATAGGACACACAGCCACAATGCACAACTTGCAAAGACAAAGCACAGAGGATGCATGCTGCCTGTGTAACTCTACTTCTGCTGCTATCAACAGAATACATCCACTGCACAATGGTGACTTTTTGTCCCTGCATTGACTTACACCTGCATATGTCCCTAAGTGAATTCTGGCCTATGCAGAGAAGCGGGATATAAATAAAATTTATTATTATTATTATGTCTGGAATTTGGATTTTAGTGCTACCATTCTGCTAAAGCCATCTAATTCTATCTCTCTTTTCTATCTAAATCTAAGGAATCTAGCTCTGCAATGATGATGGTGGATGATAGTGAAAAACATTGACACAGTGTAGAAGAGACAGAGATGTTTTTGGTCAGGGTATAAGGACTCAATTTACATTGGACGGGGTTACATTCCCTTTAAAGACTATGTTTTGCAGCCAGGAATGTAAATCTTCAACTATTCCATTCTCGCAAGCTGGGATGATTAATTATGATAGTTTTCTCCATATGGGAGAAAGCAGATTTGCCTCCATAGTATTCCAGTGTTCTGAAATGTTGTGGAGGAATTATTCTGCATAGTAAAACATATAAAGTTTTTTGTGCATGCATGCACTCATGCACACACACACACACACACATTTTCTACACAAATATAGAGGTTTCTGGCACCAGAAGCAGGGGCATCACTAGAAGATGCAGTGGGTGAGAACCACATCAGGTGATACCCTAAGGAGGGAGTGATACTACTGCTCCCCAAATATCTGCCTTCTGGCAGGAACAGCTGCGGTTTTCACATGCATCCCTTTAAAACTCTGGAGCTCAGCAGAAGACATGAGGTGAGTGGGGTGAGGCTCAGTGGGAGAAGAAAGGAGAAGCCTCCAGGTTTTGTTTTTTTTTTAATTCAAATTAAAAAATTCAAATAAAAAAAATAAAAATTATTCTTTTCAATTTTTCTTTAAAAATATTGCATCTTACCAAATTTTCACTTTAAACCACATGAAACTGTGTACATGTAAATGCATTTAGGCTGTGAGTGCTATATTGTAATTTAAAGGTATAATTTTAATTTTGCTAGTTGTTTGTGTCACAACTATTGCCATTACATACAACGATATATGGAAATTACAATTTATGAGTAATATTAGTATGAAGAACAGGACTTAAGGATTATGTATGGTGTGGTACTAGAAGAGTTCAACGGTGGGGTGACATACCGGGTGATGCCAACTTTAGTGACATCACTGATGGGAAGTTTGTGTTTTCTATGCTATAACAGATTGGTGTGCAAAGCACCTTCATGTGTTTTTCAAAGCAGAATGATTCCTTTTCAGTCATTCAGCACGTTTGACGGACATGAGAGAGAGGGCTTTCTTGGTGGGCTATGCCCATGTTCTCAAATCTCAAATCTGAAATCTGCACAAAAATGATGTTTTAAATGCACAAAACCTGATCCCCCCCACCACAAAAATGTCTCCAAATATAAGAAATTTCACCATAACAAACTGGGGGTTTTTTAATTTTGTTTTTAACAGGATATGAATATATGCCAGTCCCTACTTCACTTCTACTGAAGGGAGTCAGGTTGCCTCCTTTGCTGTTGGCTTTTGCTGTCAAGACTTTGGCAACTGATCTTGATTGTGCCACAATCGGCTTTTAGTTAGATAGGTGCTATTTTCCTATCACTGGTGTGCTTTAAATTACATTTTAAACTTTTATGCTGAATTTGTTTTACCTTTCACTTGTATTTGCCTTACTCAGTTTTACTGAAAACTGTACTTTTGGGAAATAATTAATTAATAGATTTTAGGGCTTTTTTTCCAGCTGGCCATGTTGTGAATTTGCATATATTGAGAATTTTGATTATTACATAGCAATGGTTGGGGCCCTATGTTAAGGCTGAGACAGATTTATTACTTTCTAGCATTGTAACTGGAAATTGGTTGGAGGAAGTGCTCTGATTTATATTCAGAAAACAGCTCATTTTGCAAATGGAATAGATTTTTTAGATCTCTTCAGGGTGTTGTAAGTTTAAAAAGTTTCAGAACCTCAGATTTAAATTGTCATGCTCATAATGCCAAAGACATGGTTCAGGCCCCATGTAATCCATGGCCTAAAACCAATTGCTAGTCCCAGCCAGTGGCATCCCTAGGGTTGGTGTAACCTGGTGCATTCATTCATGGGGGGGGGGG